AGACTAAAGCAACTGAATAAATTATTTAGTGAAACAGACAGAAGTACAAAAAATTTGATTTCTAAGAAGATGCATTTTTTCCGTTGCAACATGCACTTGTAAGATCAGGACACTTACTAAACAAGCTGAACAGCCAATTGCCTTTAAATCAAATGTTATAGACTGGTTCTAAAAAATTCTTGGGTAAAAAAAAAAATAACAAAACCATCCATACTTCAAGAAGTGAATATTGAAAAAGTTTGGCTATTAAAGACGATAAAACACAGAAAATTTAAATATTTTGGTCACTTTAAACGTCACAAAAGTTTGGAGAGAACAGTAATGAAGAGGTATATGCCTGGAAAGTGAGGAAGAGGAAGGCGAAAGAGAAGATGGGTGCAGGATGTGGCGGATGGTCTCCAGATGGGTGTATCGGACGCGGGACATCTTTCTGGTGATCGAGAAGTTTTCCGGAGGGTTGTTATGGAAGCAAGGTTCTGCGCAGGACACACTACTGACTCATGCGTATTGAGCATTCAGGGCTAGATCTTTATTTCATAATCAATCGGCACTTTCTGGATGATGTGGTCAGTATCATGCCGGCTGCCTTTATTTCCCAGGACTGAACCTGGTACCCACTTGGCTTGAAAGCCAAGATCATTTCAGAAAAAAAGATCCAAACCCGCGATGTTCCGTTCCACAGGCGAGGGTGGCGCTTTAAAATAACAAAAATTGCGTCCAATAACGGTATGGGTGACAATAAATTGCGAAGGCGGCACTGCAGCTTAAAAACCTCAACCCAAGTGGGTGGAGAAACACCAAACCGGAAACAGCTTCCTTGTTCGGGTTTTTTTTTTTTTTCGTTTCTGTTTCCATTTTAAGAAGATTATTTGTCATCGGCAAACATGACCCCGTAGTTGTTTTTCTACCGTTCTAGTCCTTTATCTTCTCGCCTTCAGTATTGTCTATGTGTGTGGACGGGTGTGGGAGGGGTAGAGGATAGTGAGCGTGGGTATGTGCTGTGCACGGGTGGGTTTGGTGTGGTTTGAATTGGTTTGAATAATGCATCAACATCGTGGCACACGGGTAGTAACCCATGAGTGCTCCATTCTACTTCTAACTCAAGCCTGCGTCCGAAGAATCTCAGTGCAGTGCACGAACTCCGTATCCCCGGCGAGGATCCTGAACAACTTTGGGTGTGGGTGGATGGGTGCACTGTGTATGTGTGCAATATCTTCGTATCACACTGCCACTTTTTTTAAAAATACGTTTTTGTCCTTCTTAAGTCTTCTTTTTCAGAAGTCCTATGTGTGTATGTGTTAGTGTGTGTATGTGTGCTAGTGTATTTGTATGTATGTGTGCGAGTGTATGTATTCATGTATGCCTTGGTGTGGTTGTGTGTGTGTGTGTGTGTGTGTGTGTGTGTGTGATAAAAAAAAAGGGGGGTGCCCTCTTGCAAGAATGTGTCAGTGTTTTTGTGAATAAGCGTAAACTTATAAATTTGTCTGCTGAGAAATTTCCACACCCTAACACAACACACGATTGGCGAGATTCTTTCTTCCCTCACTGTCTTCCTGTTTTTATTTCATGCCGTTGAGTGTTGAGTGCAGAACTAACATCACAACACTCAGGACATTCCCATAAGCACTCCGTCTTCATCATTATCAGCAGCTGGGGATCTTCGTCGGAGCCGCGGAGTTCGTGCTATGTGCGACACTCTCAGCAGGCGGCTAGCCTGTCTGCAGAGAGAGACCAAGCCATGTGGGATAAAACCAGGTACAGTGAAGTCAAGCCGATTGACTTCAACCTTTACTTTAACCTTCAACTTTAACCTTTAAATTAAACCTTCATTCAGCATCTAGCCTAGATATCCAGTCCCAATGGTGCCAGTAACAGTTTGCTGTAGTGGTCCTATATTCTTATAGGCAACTATGTTTTTTTTTTCTTCAACTGTAATCTTTTTGATTTCTCTACTTCTGGAAAGCCTCGCAGCGTCAGGGTAGGTAAAGATCTTTGGAACGGGTCCTTCGTAAGTATTACTTTTTTAGGGTCTCCGATACTTAGTCTGTCCATGTTTTGCGGGGTCGACCTCTGGATCGGTTACCGCTGTATCTGTTCAACATTGCTCACTGTGGTGCCTTTAGTAGAGTGATCTTCTGATGAAACCCACTAGCTCTATCGACCCCCCGCCCCCCTTTCCCCTTTTCCACACCACAAACCTCCATATCTTCGAAAACCTTACACTCCTAAAAAGAACAACGAAGTCTGGAAAGTTCTGGTTGTTCATCTACCTCTGGACCTTTGTCTTCCCCCAAAAGCCGAGTGTTACGTGTACATCTGTTTTACAGATCTTACATATATGTATGCAGACTGTTGGTTCCTTGTCTCTCATGCAGATGCGCTCCGACTGAGAAGGATGCCCCAAGTTAGTCGACTCTTAGGACATGCTTGTTGGTAGGCAGTAGGCCTATTCTTGTTTTCCCCACCATGGGGCCCCAGAACCGATACGGGGAAGTGAGGGTCCGAACCCATAATTCTTCTAGGGCTAGACAAATAGTCACCTGGCTACGGTGACCCCAGGTTGCCATGAGTTCTGCGATGCGTGACCTTGGGATCTGGCAGACGCTCAACACTGAACGGAAAGGAGAGACTAATATACAGTCAGACTGTCACTGATGCCATCAATACGGGAACTCTGTGTTTGCTGCTGAAGATGAAGACGGAGCGCTTATGGAAATGTCTCGAGTGATGAGTCGTCAATTCCTAATTTAACAGAGGCAAGAGTTTCAATCTGCCTACCTGAAGCAGTTCCACTCTGTATTCTTCCTTCCTGGCTCAGGAAAACCAACACACAAACAGACAGCATCCACAACCGCCTACTGCCATCACTAAATTCCATGTTTCCTGGCTATGGGCAGCAGTTGGGACCCTCGTGTAGCTGGATCTCAATGACAGAGTGGATCTTAGCTCCGCTGAACATTTTATACTTATTGAAATTCAACTTTGCGGGCATGCGCAGCGGCTCTAACACCTTTTGCTGAGATTTATGTGGTCTTTTTACATTCGTGAGAGCTCGTTGTGAGGTCATTTTATTGTCAATGTTGACTGGGTCAGGTACAGGTAGCCAGCCAGACATGAAGGAGAACTTGGAACCTCATATTGTATTCATTGGGGGGGGGGGGGGGGATACCTCAGTAGACTTCGAGATTGACTTCGGCGTAATTGGTTTCTGTGGAGATCGTTCAAAGACAAGTGTGGTGCTCTGCGAAAGAGTACTGCCTAGATAAGTAAATCTCCTGACATTTGGTTCTTAATTTATAATGTACCCCAAACACGAAATCCCTGTGGGAAATCCACAGCTGACCTGACAGTCCATTATTTCAAGGGGTGGAAGTGTGCTGTTGTGTGGTGCTTTTTTTTTTTTTTTGAGTGTTCATCTAGTGTCTTCTAATGCTAACCCTAACCCTAACCCTAACCCTAAACTTGGCTGTAGATAAATCGCGAGAAACTACAACCTGAACACCCTAGAAATTATTGGGAATGTCTCCCGTGACGTTGTCGTGACGTCAGGGGTAAGTTATAAATTAAGTACCCAACATTTAATTTGTGACCATTCACTGTGATATTTAGCTCGATGTATCTTTGCACTGGGGCTGGCTGGTGCACGGGTACAGTTTTATCTTTGTTGATGGTGCGCCCTATATATCTGTACGTAGAAACAGACCACAATGAATAGACAGACAGGCTGAGATGGAGGAAAGCACAGAGGTACAAAAAAGAGACAGACAGAAGCGGCACAAATTTTATCATGTGATCAGGTCTAAATAAAACAGCAAGAACTCCAACAAACGGCGCAGTACGGACCCGCATGTTTGATAAAGGGAAAAATGGCCATGTTCAACCCTGCTGAAAATAGCTACAGTTATAACTGTGGTCTTGTATTTGTGCCACGTTTAAATGTTTAAACGATTTGTTGTGCCCAGGGTCCGAATTATACCTGATGAGGCCCTAAGATATGTGAAGCCCGGAGGCCCCTTCTGTCCTAATAAATAACACTAGCTGATCTAAGAAACAATAAATTTATACGCTTTTTAAATATATAGATAATGGAAATATTTTATCGTTTAATTGTCAGGAAAAGAAATAGTAAAGAATGTGTTTGCACAGACACATAAATTATCCAATGATTTCTAAAAAGCTCTATTTAAAAAAATGCATTAGTCAACAAACACAGAGTATTTTATTGAGGCCCCTGTATATTGTGATGACCTAAGGTGACTATATCAACTACGGAATTCCAATTGATCTATAACATATAGATCTAACCGTGTATGCCCAACACGCCGGGAGACGTAGAAGAGGGTCCTCTACAACTTTTACCTTACTAACCCCAAAAGGCTACTAGAACCGCAGTTGACTGACTGACCTTTTACCCCATCAAGACCCTCTAAACGATAAACACCCAGTGACACAAAGTGTCACCATTCGGATGAGGATCACCCGTGGAGAGGTCTCAGAAACCCCGTCCAACAGTCAGGTAATATTAGGGCCTTTAGTAACAACAACAGGGGTGGGGCTTCAAAAAAACGAACATTTCATCCCACAGGGGAACGGAGTTATTAGAACCACAGTTGAGAGGTCAAGTCTGGTCATCGTACTTAAAAAGCACTGAAGTGTCTGCAAACAATCAATTTTTGGGAAGTGAGGTGTCTGTGAATATATATATATATGAGAGTGAGTGAGAGAGAGAGAGAGAGAGAGAGAGAGAGAGAGAGAGAGAGAGAGAGAGAGAGAGAGAGAGAACGAATGAACAAATGAACAAACGAACGAACGAAGGAATTTTATTTTAAAAGGGTTATGAGTTGCCACGCAGGCCCATCTTACATTCTGAGAGAGATATGTATAAAGGAAGCTTCAGGGGCCCCTCAAATTGGGTGGATGGTTTTGTGCCTCCTCCTCCTCCTATTTCAGTAATGTTATACGGATGCTAAGCATCCTGTTGTATGCCTAACCCACCTGAAGGCATAGATTTTACAACTTTTTTAATATACATAAATTATCTGTAAAAGATCTGCCTGTGTACATACAGTTATTAGTATTTCAAATTTCTTATTACATTGATTTACCATTCAGTACTGCATTATTATTATTTTCTTAAACTAGGTTTAAACACCTCGAAGACCCTCCCCACCCCCTCCCCTTTGTTATTGCTTCCACCCAACAGGACACCAGGGAGTTAAATAAGAGATATGGTTGTATAGACAAATGATGAGAATTCCCTGGACAGATACAAAGAGTAATAAAGATGTCTTGAAAGAAACTGACTCACGAAGAGAACTGGTTGTCCTCATCAAAGAGAGACAATCTATATTCTTTGATCATGTGATGAGAAGGAGAAAACTAAAGTACCTCGTGACGATAGGAAAGTTGGAGGGGGGGGGGGAGGCAGAGGGAGACCGAGGGGACAGATGCTGGGCAGTTTGACATCATAGGATTGAAGATCATCTGTTTCAGAGTTGATTGAAAATTCACAAGACAGAAGTTAGCGGATTTTTTTGTTGTTGTTGTTGATTTTTTAGTATCCAGAAGCCATGAGTTGTTAACCCTTAGGCTCGGTATTATGGATATCGCAACCCCTCGGCCTTGATTTCATGATAAATACCGTAAATCTGGGAGAAATGTGGCTTTTCTGCCTACACCCGGGCGTGAACCCGGTTTGCGGATAGACATGATTACCAACGCCACACGGCATGGACTATGTAAGACCATCTGTGTCACAGTTGATTGAAAGTGCACGAAACAGAAAGTTGTGGATAGACATGACTACCAAAGCCACACGGCATGGACTTTAAGAAGAAAAAGAACCTTAGAGATCCAAAGATGTTAAGGCTGTCGTTGGTATATTTATCGAACGAAAGAAGTCTGATGACAATGCTCCTCTTGTATCAGTCTAGCAAAAAACACCAAGCCAAAAAATGGAAAGGAACTTTTCAAATTAAACTTTGAACAACGTAAACATTAAAGACACGAAATACTATAATCACAAGACAAGCCCTGGTTTGAAATTTTAATTTAAACATTGAATATGCCGGTTTGCACTTTTCCTCATTTTCTTTGTTTTAAATTCACAAGTAAATTAAGGACAACGCTACAGGTTTGGTCTACGTTGGCGAAGTTTATTTATTCTCTGTTTTGGTAACGGACTTATAACATTGTAACTTGAAACTAGCAACGGTTATATGACCCCATGTTTGAGAATGATCTGCCATTGTGGTGTTCGGTGTTGGCCATAAGGTCTTATGTTAATTACACATAGACGTCATACAGATTGAATTGAGCCGCATAGGTAAATGTTTTTAAGCAGAGATTAATTATACGATTAATGGGGTGAAGTGGCGTACAACTGCTATGTCCGTCTGATTTACTTACTGATTAAAGAACCGACATCATACCACACCGGGCAAACTCATAGGTGCTCCGTCTCCCGCAGCAAATATCTTAAGGTGTAGATTCTAACACTGTCCCGTTGCACACAGATTATGTAAACGCCATTCTTTTCCTCACATAGGTCCCTCCTTGCCTGATCCACACTTAATTCCTTTTTCTTACACGTCTCATTTCATCTAACCTCGTGTCTTCGATGTCTGTCGCTAATTCAGAAAGACTGGTTCCAGTCATGCCAGAGTGTTTAGAATTTTACAGCAAAAGTAGTTCGGTATTATTATCAACATCGTTGTCGCGGTTGAGCGGTTATGGGTTGCCATCTCATATGATCATCTTTTTCTTCTTCCTCTTCTTCTTTTTCTTCTTCTTATTCGTCTTCTTCTTCTACTTCTTCTTCTTTTTCTGCTTCTTCTTCTTCTTCTTCTTCTTCTTCTTCTTCTTCTTCTTCTTCTTCTTCTTCTTCTTCTTCTTCTTCTTCTTCTTCTTCTTCTTCTTCTTCTTCTTCTTCTTCTTCTTCTTCTTCTTCTTCTTCTTCTTCTTCTTCTTCTTCTTCTTCTTCTTCTGTCACATCCACCTCCTCCTCCTTCTTTACTGCTACTACTGCTACTGCTGGAAAGCGCAGAAACTATAACGCTAAAAACAATCCACGACTAAGGACACAGTCTAGTGTACAACCATGAACAGTGTCTAGGTTACAGCCAAGAAAACCATGAACAGTGTCTAGGGTACAGCCAAGAAAACCATGAACAGTGTCTAGGTTACAGCCAAGAAAACCATGAACAGTGTCTAGGTTACAGCCAAGAAAACCATGAACAGTGTCTAGGTTACAGCCAAGAAAACCATGAACAGTGTCTAGGTTACAGCCAAGAAAACCATGAACAGTGTCTAGGTTACAGCCAGAAAACCATGAACAGTGTCTAGGTTACAGCCAAGAAAACCATGAACAGTGTCTAGCCAAGTTGAACAGCCAGCCAGAAAACCATGAACATGTCTAGGTTACAGCCAAGAAAACCATGAACAGTGTCTAGGTTACAGCCAGAAAACCATGAACAGTGTCTAGGTTACAGCCAAGAAAACCATGAACAGTGTCTAGGTTACAGCCAAGAAAACCATGAACAGTGTCTAGGTTACAGCCAAGAAAACCATGAACAGTGTCTAGGTTACAGCCAAGAAAACCATGAACAGTGTCTAGGTTACAGCCAAGAAAACCATGAACAGTGTCTAGGTTACAGCCAAGAAAACCATGAACAGTGTCTAGGTTACAGCCAAGAAAACCATGAACAGTGTCTAGGTTACAGCCAAGAAAACCATGAACAGTGTCTAGGTTACAGCCAAGAAAAAACCATGAACAGTGTCTAGGTGCCAAGAAAAACCATGAACAGTGTCTAGGTTACAGCCAAGAAAAACCATGAACAGTGTCTAGGTTACAGCCAAGAAAACCATGAACAGTGTCTAGGTTACAGCCAAGAAAACCATGAACAGTGTCTAGGTTACAGCCAAGAAAACCATGAACAGTGTCTAGGTTACAGCCAAGAAAACCATGAACAGTGTCTAGGTTACAGCCAAGAAAAAAACCATGAACAGTGTCTAGGTTACAGCCAAGAAAACCATGAACAGTGTCTAGGTTACAGCCAAGAAAACCATGAACAGTGTCTAGGTTACAGCCAAGAAAACCATGAACAGTGTCTAGGTTACAGCCAAGAAAAAACCCATGAACAGTGTCTAGGTTACAGCCAAGAAAACCATGAACAGTGTCTAGGTTACAGCCAAGAAAAACCATGAACAGTGTCTAGGTTACAGCCAAGAAAACCATGAACAGTGTCTAGGTTACAGCCAAGAAAACCATGAACAGCCAAGTGTCTAGGTTACAGCCAAGAAAACCATGAACAGTGTCTAGGTTACAGCCAAGAAAAAACCATGAACAGTGTCTAGGTTACAGCCAAGAAAACCATGAACAGTGTCTAGGTTACAGTGTCTAGGTTACAGCCAAGAAAACCATGAACAGTGTCTAGGTTACAGCCAAGAAAACCATGAACAGCCAAGGTTACAGCCAAGAAAACCATGAAACAGTGTCTAGGTTACAGCCAAGAAAACCATGAACAGTGTCTAGGTTACAGCCAAGAAAACCATGAACAGTGTCTAGGTTACAGCCAAGAAAATGACCATGCCAAGAAAACCATGAACAGTGTCTAGGTTACAGCCAAGAAAACCATGAACAGTGTCTAGGTTACAGCCAAGAAAACCATGAACAGTGTCTAGGTTACAGCCAAGAAAACCATGAACAGTGTCTAGGGTACAGCCAAGAAAACCATGAACAGTGTCTAGGTTACAGCCAAGAAAAACCATGAACAGTGTCTAGGTTACAGCCAAGAAAACCATGAAACAGTGTCTAGGTTACAGCCAAGAAAACCATGAACAGTGTCTAGGTTACAGCCAAGAAAACCATGAACAGTGTCTAGGTTACAGCCAAGAAAACCATGAACAGTGTCTAGGTTACAGCCAAGAAAACCATGAACAGTGTCTAGGTTACAGCCAAGAAAAACCATGAACAGTGTCTAGGTTACAGCCAAGAAAACCATGAACGGTGTCTAGGTTACAGCCAAGAAAACCATGAACAGTGTCTAGGGTACAGCCAAGAAAACTATGAACAGTGTCTAGGTTACAGCCAAGAAAACCATGAACGGTGTCTAGGTTACAGCCAAGAAAACCATGAACGGTGTCTAGGTTACAGCCAAGAAAACCATGAACAGTGTCTAGGTTACAGCCAAGAAAACCATGAACAGTGTCTAGGGTACAGCCAAGAAAACCATGAACAGTGTCTAGGTTACAGCCAAGAAAACCATGAACAGTGTCTAGGTTACAGCCAAGAAAACCATGAACAGTGTCTAGGTTACAGCCAAGAAAACCATGAACAGTGTCTAGGGTACAGCCAAGAAAACCATGAACAGTGTCTAGGTTACAGCCAAGAAAACCATGAACAGTGTCTAGGTTACAGCCAAGAAAACCATGAACAGTGTCTAGGTTACAGCCAAGAAAACCCATGAACAGTGTCTAGGTTACAGCCAAGAAAACCATGAACAGTGTCTAGGTTACAGCCAATAAAACCAGGTGAACCATGAACGGTGTCTAGGTTACAGCCAAGAAAACCATGAACAATGTCTAGGGTTACAGCCAAGAAAACCATGAACAGTGTCTAGGTTACAGCCAAGAAAACCATGAACAGTGTCTAGGTTACAGCCAAGAAAACCATGAACAGTGTCTAGGTTACAGCCAAGAAAACCATGAACGGTGTCTAGGTTACAGCCAAGAAAACCATGAACAGTGTCTAGGTTACAGCCAAGAAAACCATGAACAGTGTCTAGGTTACAGCCAAGAAAACCATGAACAGTGTCTAGGTTACAGCCAAGAAAACCATGAACAGTGTCTAGGTTACAGCCAAGAAAACCATGAACAGTGTCTAGGTTACAGCCAAGAAAACCATGAACGGTGTCTAGGGTACAGCCAAGAAAACCATGAACAGTGTCTAGGTTACAGCCAAGAAAACCATGAACAGTGTCTAGGTTACAGCCAAGAAAACCATGAACAGTGTCTAGGTTACAGCCAAGAAAACCATGAACAGTGTCTAGGTTACAGCCAAGAAAACCATGAACAGTGTCTAGGTTACAGCCAAGAAAACCATGAACAGTGTCTAGGTTACAGCCAAGAAAACCATGAACAGTGTCTAGGGTACAGCCAAGAAAACCATGAACAGTGTCTAGGGTACAGCCAAGAAAACCATGAACAGTGTCTAGGTTACAGCCAAGAAAACCATGAACAGTGTCTAGGTTACAGCCAAGAAAACCATGAACAGTGTCTAGGTACAGCCAAGAAAACCATGAACAGTGTCTAGGGTACAGCTAGGTTACAGCCAGTGAAAACCATGAGAAAACCAGTGTCTAGGTTACAGCCAAGAAAACCATGAACAGTGTCTAGGTTACAGCCAAGAAAACCATGAACGGTGTCTAGGTTACAGCCAAGAAAACCATGAACAGTGTCTAGGTTACAGCCAAGAAAACCATGAACAGTGTCTAGGTTACAGCCAAGAAAACCATGAACAGTGTCTAGGTTACAGCCAAGAAAACCATGAACAGTGTCTAGGTTACAGCCAAGAAAAAAACCATGAACAGTGTCTAGGTTACAGCCAAGAAAACATGAACGGTGTCTAGGTTACAGCCAAGAAAACCATGAACAGTGTCTAGGTTACAGCCAAGAAAACCATGAACGGTGTCTAGGTTACAGCCAAGAAAACCATGAACAGTGTCTAGGTTACAGCCAAGAAAACCATGAACCGTGTCTAGTGTACAGCCAAGAAAACCATGAACGGTGTCTAGGTTACAGCCAAGAAAACCATGAACGGTGTCTAGGTTACAGCCAAGAAAACCATGAACAGTGTCTAGGTTACAGCCAAGAAAACCATGAACAGTGTCTAGGTTACAGCCAAGAAAACCATGAATGGTGTCTAGGTTACAGCCAAGAAAACCATGAACAGTGTCTAGGTTACAGCCAAGAAAACCATGAACAGTGTCTAGGTTACAGCCAAGAAAACCATGAACGGTGTCTAGGGTACAGCCGAGAAAACCATGAACGGTGCCTAGTGTACAGCCGAGAAAACCATGAACAGTGCCTAGTGTACAGCCGAGAAAACCATGAACGGTGCCTAGGTTACAGCCAAGAAAACCATGAACGGTGTCTAGGGTACAGCCGAGAAAACCATGAACGGTGCCTAGTGTACAGCCGAGAAAACCATGAACAGTGCCTAGGGTACAGCCAGGGTACAGCCGAGAAAACCATGAACGGTGCCTAGTGTACAGCCGAGAAAACCATGAACAGTGCCTAGGGTACAGCCAAGAAAACCATGAACGGTGCCTAGGTTACAGCCAAGAAAACCATGAACGGTATCTAGGGTACAGCCGAGAAAACCATGAACGGTGCCTAGTGTACAGCCAAGAAAACCATGAACAGTGCCTAGGGTACAGCCAAGAAAACCATGAACGGTGTCTAGGTTACAGCCAAGAAAACCATGAACAGTGTCTAGGTTACAGCCAAGAAAACCATGAATGGTGTCTAGGTTACAGCCAAGAAAACCATGAACAGTGTCTAGGTTACAGCCAAGAAAACCATGAACAGTGTCTAGGTTACAGCCAAGAAAACCATGAACAGTGTCTAGGTTACAGCCAAGAAAACCATGAACGGTGTCTAGGTTACAGCCAAGAAAACCATGAATGGTGTCTAGGTTACAGCCAAGAAAACCATGAACAGTTTCTAGGTTACAGCCAAAAAAAAAAAAAAACATGTACAGTGTGCAACCAACATGTTATATTGTACAGCCAAGAACATGATCTAGTGTACAAACAAGAACACGGATGAGGATACAACAAAGAACACAATGTGCTGAGTACACACAAGAACATGGTCTAGTTATACAAATAACAACATGGGATAGACTTCAACCAATTACACATCGTACAGTGTATACACAAAAAAAATGTATAGCCAAGAACATGGTTTGTATACAACCAAGAACACGGTTTGTATACAACCAAGAACACGGTTTGTATACAACCAAGAACACGGTTTGTATACAACCAAGAACACGGTTTGTATACAACCAAGAACACGGTTTGTATACAACCAAGAACACGGTTTGTATACAACCAAGAACACGGTTTGTATACAACCAAGAACACGGTTTGTATACAACCAAGAATACGTACTTGTTAACAACTAACAACACCGTCTAAAGTACAACCAAGAACACCAAACAAGAACACCGTATTCAAAAAGCTAAGAACATGGTCTAGAGTACAACCAAGAACACCAAACAAGAACACCGTATTCAAAAAGCTAAGAACATGGTCTAGAGTACAACCAAGAACACCAAACAAGAACACATTATTGCGTACAACCAAGAACACGGTCTAGAGTACAACCAAGAACACCAACCCAGAACACAGTATTGCGTACAGATAAGAACACGGTCTAGAGTAAAACCAAGAACTCCAACCAAGAACATAGTATTGCGTACAGCCAAGAACACGGTCAAGAGTACAACCAAGAACACCAACCAAGAACACAGTATTGCGTACAGCCAAGAACATGGTTTAGAGTACAACCAAGAACACCAACCAAGAACACAGCTTACAGTCAAGAACACGGTCTAGAGTACAACCAAGAACACCAACCAAGAACATAGTATTGTGTACAGCCAAGAACACGGTCTATAATACAACCAAGAACACCAACCAAGAACATAGTATTGCGTACAGCCAAGAACACGGTCTAGAGTACAACCAAGAACACAGTGTCGGTGTACGGGTAAACAAGTAGGTCGACCTGTGCCCTGATAACATTAGCATAAGGCGCCTAAAAAGGGGCAGATAAATCCTGATCAGCGACATATAATTATCTGTCATTGTTTGCGAACAAATAAAAGATCTCAGGTCCCTAACAAATGCCATCCATGCAGACGGCAAACACAATCAACAACCATACACGCCATGTATTCCGGTTGGTAATGAAGGAAGCCAGTGTAGAATATGTGTTTCTTTTGTTGAGTCTGCACGATATTTGTCTATTTTTTAGATGTTTCTGTTGTTTTATTGTTCCGTTCTTTTCTGTGGAATGGTGGGAATTTTTCATGCGACTCGCGTCATTCGTCGACGTTCGTTTGACATGCGGGGAAAAAAAAAAAGGGGGGGGGGGGGGGGGGGGGGGGGGGGGGGGGGGGGGGGGGGGGGGTTCCATTTGACTTTTTGTTCCTTTAAAGATCATCTCCTTCCAGTGTGGATTCCGGGACCCTATTATAGGGAAAACAAGATAAGACCTACTGCCTACCCGAAAGCATGTCGTAAGAGTCGACTAATTGGGTCTTCATTCGAAGTTGGAGTGCTCTGCCTGAGAGGCAAGGAATCAGAAGTCTGCATACGAATCAGATCTGTAAACCGGATGCACACACAACACTCAGTTTCTGGAACAGGACTGCAGTCCAGAAGTGGATGAACAACCAGAACTTTCCGCCAGAGTTTACAGCTGGTGAAGGCGAAGAAGAAGCAGAAGAAGAAGAAGAAGAAGAAGAAGAAGAAGAAGAAGAAGAAGAAGAAGAAGAAGAAGAAGAAGAAGAAGAAGAAGAAGAAGAAGAAGAAGAAGAAGAAGAAGAAGAAGAAGAAGAAGAAGAAGAAGAAGAAGAAGAAGAAGAAGAAGAAGAAGAAGAAGAAGAAGAAGAAGAAGAGGTCTGTCTTTGAAGGACCACATCCATGTCGTAACAGTAAAGAGAGGCTGTGGCTGCTACTCTGCAACGGACATAGACCAGGGGATGCTATCAGCACTCAGTCAGTCCCTGATGGCTTGGAGGGAGTGGGGGAAGACCCACTGTCTCCCAAACAGGCGTGTCGTAAAAGTCGACTAATTACAGGTGTTTCCTACGAAGACGGAGTGCATCTGCCGGAGACGAGAGAAACCAACAGTCTGCATACAAATAAACCAAATATATAAAGGGTGTGCTAGGAAAACCAAATTTCGCGGAAAAGACCGAAGTTCAGAAGTGGACGAACAACCAGAACTTTCCGCTGGAGTTCACAGACGGTGAACATAAAGAAGAATTACCTGCTGTCTGTTGGCCCTAATGACGTCAGTGATCAGAAGTGATTTAAACATTGCGAATTTGGTTCCTGCTTCTGTCTGTCTGTCGATATTTGTTTGCAAGCACAGGCACCACTTTTATTCCATGCGGATGGACTAATATCATCCCCACAACCCAACCCCGGTTACGCCCTATAGGCCAACCCCTCCCTCCCTCCTTAGACACTCAGTGTACGCTGTTGGCGTCAAACCCGTCCCTTTTTTTTTGCCCCTACCTGCGCGTTGGAGGTATATAGACTGACCGTCATTCCATTGAACGAAGTTTTTTCGCCAGGGACACTAGATGAGTATCATTTATTCTATACATTAGAGTCCTATGTAGTCACTTCATAGTTAGAGCCTATTTGTGTATGTGTACTGTGTTGTCCTTTATGTGCTGATGAAGGCTAATCGCCGCAACGTCCTTTGTTTGTTTATTGTGATCGATTTTGTAAAGCTAACATAAACTAATTGTTGTTTCTTACCAACTTTTTCTCTTCCCTATAATTTTCAACTCCTTATAAAAACTTATCCACAAGCTGAGTTTTCTTTATGCAAGTTTTATGCATTGGAACCCACAGCCACATAGGAAAAAAGTAAGGCCAAAAAAAAAAAAAACACACTTGGAGAAGAGAGCTGGAGAATGAAGTTAGAAAGATGGGGAGGACATTGGGAGAGCTCCATGTAATGGCGAAGGATAGAACGACTTGGCGTGAGTTGGTTAAGGGCTTATGCTCCATTGGGGGATAGAAAGGCGGAAGAAGAAGAGAAGAAGAGTTGTACAGCTGGAAGCAGGTGGTGGATGGAGTGTGAGAGGAGCCGACAGAATCTTGTTGGTTATGGTCGTACACTCTGCGGCGAGGGCAGATGAGGGCAGATGATCTCATCAATAGAGACTATGGCTGCGGCCACCGACTAGTACAGTATTTGCCCAGACGGAAAGCAATGACAAACTACCTTCTGTAAAACGTGCAAATTATAACAGCCATAAAAAAAAAAAAAAAAAAACATCAGAAGAATGAGATCTGGTATGGAGATAAATTAGATTTCAACGAGCATTTGCAACATGCGCCTGTGAGACCTAGACACTTATTAAACAAGCTGTACAGCGCATTTTAAATGCCTTTGAAAACTAGTCTTGATGATCTCCTCCGACGATTAATATTCCAGATTTCGCTTAAAGGGGCTGTTTCATGAATTCATATATGGACCAATTTTAAAACAATTGCGTACCACGTCATCAGAACTGTCTAAAAGTTAAAGACATGTTTCCACTCCTTAATGCGTATTTGGAATCTGTCTTACTGATCAATCCTATGTCTTACTGGTCAATCCTATGTCTTACTGATCAATCCTATGTCTTACTGATCAATCCTATGTCTTACTGATCAATCCTATGTCTTACTGATCAATCCTATGTCTTACTGATCAATCCTATGTCTTACTGATCAATCCTATGTCTTACTGATCAATCGGTACTTGGTAAATGATCTTATCAACATCATGCTGACCGTCTTTACTTCCCAGAAGTTTCCCTGCTACCCATTAGGGGTAGGTCAGCATAGAAGCCAGGGTCCTTTTTGGAAGAAGAAAATCTGACTCCTTTCGGGTTCGAACCCACGACCTTCGGTTTCGCAAGCACCGTCTAGTCGCTACGCCACGGCGGCTACCCGTAAGAGCTGTGTGGTTACAAATATGTAGTCACCGTGGGGGGTGGGATTGTTGGAACACCTTATACTAGTTCACGGTTTTATGAGTTTGCCTGTCGTGTTCTCTCCCTGCAGTATCTTCTGTCTCCGGTTACGGCAATTAAAGCATATTATTTCAACTTGTAAAGTTTGAATGCCTGTCTGTCTGTCTTTCTGTCTGTCTGGTGACTAGAATTGCCCCCTAGTGTAGTGGTTCCTCAAACTGTAGATCGCGACCCCTTTCGGGGTCAAACGACCCTTTCACAGGGGTCACATAAGATCGTCGGAAAACACATATTCAAGGAAGTTATGATTAGGGTCACCCCAACATGAGGAAATATATTAAAGGGTCAAGGCATTAGAAAAGTTGAGAGCCACTGTCCTACTACTATTTGTCTGTGTCTGTTGAATTTCCTGGCTGTTACTTTTTAGGTAGGCAACGGTTCCCAGAACCCGCACCTTTATTCGGCGCTTTTGCAATAGATACTCTGTGGTCTGTACCGGCTGCTGTAGCCGTCTGGAGGTGACAGGTTCAATTCTCGGCACGGTAACTATAGCTTTCGATTTGTATGTTCTCTAGTGTGTTCTTCTACCTTTCTACTGATTTCTATGAGTGCCGATCAATACACTTTCTGTTATATGATTGTCATTCCTCTAGAAAAGGAAACCTAGTTATCTCTGTATAAACAGAAGGGGGAACCATTGAGGCTGTAGAAATAATATACATATAATAACAACCAGATAATGTACTGACTGGCACTCGTAGAATGAAGTAGAAAGATAAAAGAACACATTAGAAAACAAATACAATCGATGGGAAAGAAAGAAAATGAAAGGACCCTTTTCCACGCCTTTTGGCTATAGGGCATATAGGGCTAGGCCTATATTTAAAGACCAACGGCACAAGATGGGTGATGTGGCCAGCATCACGCCGGCCGCCTTTACTTCCCGGGACTGCAACCGATACCCACTCAAGGCTGGGTCGACCTGGGAGCCAAGGTCATTTTTGAAGAAAAGTCCGACTCCGCCAGGGAGCGAACCCACGACTTTCCGATCCGCGGCGCGCGTCTAGCCGCTACGCCACGGCGACTCCCTAAACAATCGATAGCTCTTTATTAAGTTTTGGCGTCAGTGGCATAGGCGTTGCGAAAGAGCTTCCTAGTGAAGGGATGCCGGGTTCGATCCGAACTACAGGTCTTGCGCCTTGTGATGGTTTCGACGATGGTAACGAGAAGCCGACCGTTCAGTAGCAATGGCAAACTAATGGACGTAAATTTGCGTGGAAAAGGCATTGTAGCCAAAAACAGGACGGTCGGAATCCAACCTTTCTTGATAAAAAATTTATTATGTCCAGGTAGTTTGCCCATTGCTTTCTGGACTGTCGATAACCAAACGCAAGGCGCATTGCCCGCAACTGGGATCGAACCCGGCATCCCGGCATTTCGAAGCGAAGCGTTCGCATTCGCGCTTAGCCACAGAGCCGACACATATATATATATATATATATATATATATATATATATATATATATATATATATATATATATAATATATATATATATATATATATATATATATATATATATATAATCTCTGAATAAGTCTGCTATCTACGTTTGTCTACTTATCAGTGTGTTTCAGGATATATATAATAAACAGACAGACAATGTATTGATCGGCATTCACAGAAACAAATATAAAGGTAGAAGAACACACTAGATAACCTAACAATC